AAGGAGTAAACCTCCCATCCAGAGCCAGCTGTTCATAAATCAGACCCATCTCCCTTTTTCACTAAAAGAACCTGACATCTCGGGTGCCTGCAGATCCTTTGGTATTATGGAAGGAAGTGTTGGTTACTCTTCCACATACCTCCCTAACAAAAAGGTTTGCATCACAGCAAGTTCAACATGGAGATGTTCACTTTGGGAGTGAAGTACAGAGCTAGAACTGGAAAAATAATCATTCCTCAAAGTCTTAGAGGATTTCAGGACAAGTCTGCATTGTGCAACTCAGTTAAGATCTGTTTTTTCATTACTCAGCAGAATTTTTTCTTCCAAAGCCTGTTTCCTGCCCCATTTCAGCTGTCCTAGATTTATTCAAAGTCAAGGAAAAGCAGTCAGATCATTAAGAACAAAGTGTTAACTTTTTTCAGGCACTAGATTGTGTACATATCAATAATGCAACTGCCAGACTTCCAAACCCTTTGGCACTCTGCACCATTTAGGTGCCAACTCCAGCAAATAAAAGCTTCCGTTCAGTGATTCACTTCCTGTCCTGCTGTAAGGCAGTGCACAAATGGCACAGCACTACTAGCTGTTCTCCCTTTACAGCAATAAGCAAGGCACCCTTTACTATTCAAAGTGATCTACAAAAATTTAAAATAAAAGTAGAGACTTCTTTCCCCACTTTTCATTCCCTAGGTTATGAAATCTTACAGACAGTAGTTCTGCTCAGCAGGTGGTCTGCAGTTCAAGTGTAACAGCACCTGACTTGACTTTGCATAATGCGATGTTCATATCCAGCCCCATTAGGAATCAAAAGAAGTCCCTATGTGATAGCAAGACTATTTACTGAATTATAGTTTCATCAGAGTCCAAACATTGTGATTTTCAGTGTCAGTTTTTCTCCTCTGCAATACTCCAGACATTTACAAAACAAGTACTTAACCTGTTTAGTGAGAACAAAGTAGGCATAGAAAGCCATGGCACCCCCGTAAGTGATGAAGTATGTGACTGGCTCCATGATGTCCCATGAGTAGACCCACCACGTGAGCCATGCCAACGCTCCCCCTTGTGCTGACATCAGAGCTAAGCCAACCCACAGAAGCCTGGAGGTCTGTGCACTTGCATTGTCTGCGATTCTGGCTTTCATCTAAAGAAAAGAAACACAAAAACCTGTTCAAGCAAACATGAGTGCAAATGATGAGCAGTTCCTCAAATACTTTTTCTCCTGCTGGGCTAGATCCTTTTTCAGGATCTTTTACTAAATCCTCTTGTTGACTTACTCTACTAAGGAAGAAATCTGAAATCCAAGTACAACCAGATCTTCTGGCTGTTGCACACCAAGAAACACTGCTTCTAATCTCCCCTTCACACTACTAGGAATTCATGTCTACTGGATTTCTATTCACTGTTCAAGGCAGCAATGGTTAACACAGAGACTGGTGCTCACAAAGCAGGTCTGAAGGCAAGGAAAAATTTGTCCACTTTGTACAACAGACTCTTTCTGGCTTCCTCTTGCCACAGATCCACACCTTCCCTTCTTGGATTATGGCAAATATTTGTCCAAACAATTTGCCTGCTGCCTTGGTGATACAGAAAATCCTAGCATAAGCCACAGATGATTTCTACCTCACTATTCTTTTTTCTATAATGGGGATTCAGAATCCATAGAGCAACGGGTGACTAAGAGGACTTTCAATCCCAATGCTAGCCATGCTGAGGCTTGCTCATGACAGCTTTCTCCAGGAATTGTGGCATCTAGCCAGGAGGGTAAAGGACTGAACTGAAAATAACCTGAATTATATATATGAATTGACCCTTTTTTGCATAACAAATAGACACACCCTAACAATTTATGCCGGTTTTTGTTTGGTTTGTTGTTTTTTTTTTAATCACAGGACTTACTTTTGATGAAAGGAAATGCTTTTGAGTATAAAAAAAAGTAACCCCACTTTCCAACCTGTTCAAGAGGCAGCAGCTCTTCTTTCAGATGGTCTAGTTTCTGTAGCAATTCTCTCTCTTTCCTGATCTGGTGATCTTCTAAATGTAGAGCCACAAAGAGTCTGTGAACCAAGGATTTAATATCTTCCATTTCAGTAGCATGCTCACTACCCAGCTTATCTGAAAAGAAAAATGTTTGCTGTATAAAACATTTCAAGAATCTAACCTTCTTTATTCTCTCCCCACCTCCAACCACAAAAAGCAGGACCATCCAATGGTAAAAAAAAAAACAAAACAAACTCCTTTCTCCAGACTGATCCAGTTTTCTGAGACTTGCAATGCCTTTCACCAGATGAAGTGAAATAATTGGTTATTAAGCATTGCTCTTACCTTTTACAGGAGGTGACACACTGTATGCTGTGTTGTTGATAGCAAGTTTAAAGTCATTCATCAGTAAGACCTCCATTAAGGTTGCATCAGAGACCTTGCTACCATCTGCAGAAGAAAGATTTCAGTTCTATCACAAGGAATCTTAAACATTGGCTGACATCCCTTTGGACAAGTGCTGGAGTTCTTTATTAATAATGTTTGAAAGAGAACTATACTTTCAGTAAATCTGGTAACTGAGAATTGAACAGTAAGGAGAAACATGTCAATACAGAGTGTGCCTGAATGCTTTCTCCAGCACTGAGGAAAAGAAGTAGCTTATTTTCAATTACTTAAAATCGGAGACAAAGGGGAAACTGTGACACACAATCAGGAAAGCTGGTTGTTGAAGATTTTCTCCTGCTTTTCTATTTGTTCCTTCTTTACATTCCCTCTCTACCATTTCTTTGCCAAAGACCTTTAACCCAAAAGGCAGTATCTGTGTCTGCCTAGGGCTTAGAAAAGATTTGACACTAGTAGATGGACGACAACTTCAATATATGGAAAGGCTCTCATCCAACAGCATGGGCACAGTGCAGGCCTTCTTAGGGTGTTCTCTACACAGCAGATCTTGCAAGATTACTACTCTGGCAACATCTCCCGTGTCTCAAACAACAGGAAAAAAAACTTCATCCAAATGAGAAGTCAATCCCTTCCTATTTTGCGTTAATACAGAAAGGCACATAAAACCTCTGCTGAAATGTAAAAAGATCTAATTTGTCCCATTTCTGCTTCTCGTTTCCCTGTTTAACAGAGCCTGAAGTTTGTAAATGACCTCTTTTCTTCAGTGTATTACTGCTCTTCCTGCCTGCCAGCTTTCGTATCTCCTCCTCATTTCACCATCCACTGCTCCTCACTACAGCTAGGAGGCAAAGGAACACAACACATCTCACAGGGAGCTGAACACACCAAAAAGGAGCTCCTGGAATCATTAGTAGCAACACGTAATGGTGGATCTCCGCAGCTTTCACTGCCTCAAATCCAGCACATCCCAGAGCCACCCAGTAAATGCAGCCTCCCCAGGGGGTTCAGGTGGCCCAAGAGCCCCCAGAGCCACACACCACTACTGGTGGACACATCACTGCAGCATCGGGGGCTCAGAAGCCACAGAGTGGCTAAACAACAAAATCTGCTTGACCTGGTCTTCATTTCCTATAAATAAAAAGAGCACCTTCCCCTGCCAAGGGGTGGGCAGTGGCAGAGAAAAGCAGTTATACTCCTGAGATGAATAATGATCAAGCTACAAAATATCAAGATTTTTGTTTGTAAATATTTGTCACAGTGCTACTGCCCCTGCTCCTCTGTCCCCATGTGCCCACTACGGAAAGGCACCACAGACAACCCCCAACCTGCAATTATATATTCACCAGAACCCTGTTCTTGGGCCCCATCTGCAAGGCTGAGACTACTGAACTCTGTAAGCTAATGCATCAGCTGGCTCCCCAGCCCACTCTGTGTTGGTAGCAAAGCAAATCTGGAAGGTGCCCATCCACTCATTTATTTTTTTATCTTGCCATTTTTTTTCTTTAACAGTGTATTAAAACATCCAAGTTCATTTGCATGTAAATTATTAAGGTGATATTTATTATTTAAGAAAAAAATGCTGCACAAAGAAGTGCCAGACAGGCACTTTGTTCTTCACCAACGATTTATTAACCTGTCCAACCTTTTATTAACTGAAAAGCAGAAGAGCTGGGGAAGAAGGGAAGTGTTTTATTTTAGAAAATCTAGGCTTTCAGCAAAAATCTACTCTTCTTGTACCTAAGCACAAGCATTGAAATGTGGACAAAGGACCATTTTTGTCTACGGGAGTTTTGCAGGACCAAAACTCAGTCCACAGAAAATGAAAGTAAGTTATCATACACGGCATTAATACTTTCAATTAAGGCTGGGTTTCATTTAATGGCTAAATGACACAGAAGAAATGTCTGCACCAAATCAAGGCTTCATAATTTTTCTTTAATAATGTTTAAATTCAATTCTTGGTACTTGACTGATAGTTTCTCTTTATAGTATCAGTTCCCTAATAAATTAAACATCTAAGCTGTTTTCTAACATTACAATTGCCCAACACTTGAAAAATACAGAGCAGAGATCTGCTTAAGTCATTGTTTTTATCAAAGTAGACAACATTTCTGTTCCTAAGCCAGGGAGGCGAGATGTGGTGTGTGTGTTAGATGAGAGAAGATGAAAATGGCTCAGACTCCTTTCCACTTTGGCACCTAGTGCCCTTCCATGCCAAAAATGCCAGATTTGTATGTTTCTTGCAAAAATTATCTTATGCTTCACAAGTGACTGATCTTTGCACTGAAGCAGAACTGGTAGTTAGCTTTTACTGACCCACCACAGAAGGACAGGATTCAGCAGCGAATAACAAAAACCTGTCTCATGGATACATCTGCACAGAGAGCAGTTCTTCGATATTAACTGTTAGCTGTGTATGTTCTTGGCTAGCCCTGCCTCACCCCAGGAATAAATAATTTTTAGTGAAAACTTCCATGCTAAGGGGAAGACCAGTTGCTGACAAGGACCATTTGTTACAGTGGCTACTGAAGACACAAGAGTCTGTTATTAAACTATTTTTTTTCAAGAGAATTTTCTACCTTTGCTGTCTAGCAGACACATCATCAAAAATAAACAAACAAACAAAAAAACAGCGCCAAAGTTCTTGTATACACAAGAAGTCCCTAAGAAAATTGTTGAGAAAATTCCCTGAAGACTTGGGATAATGGGACAAACAGTATGCTACAAGGATAAAGACCACATCAATGTTAACATACCAGTATACTTTTTTCCTTTCCAACTAAGGGCTCCCAAGTACTGTACTCTAGCTGATGACTGAAACCTCCCAAAAGTAACAAAAAGCTGTCCTTTATCATTGCACACATTATCTGGTTTCTTAGCTGTTAGTAAGTTTTCCCTATGAGTTCAAGTTTGTATTAAGGCAAACAGATTCTTCCAGCTCAGGGTAACACAAAAACTGGCAGACATCATATTCAAAAGCCTGACTGGCTGTCTTTAAGAAGGATTATGGACAGTAAGGAAAGAAAAATGTATCAAGGAAGCCAAAAGACAGACACTTAGTTAAGGACAGCATTACAAAAGAGAGCAACCTGTAAAACAGAAGATGCAACCGGATATAGGAGAGGTTACAGTAATGTGTTCAATTCTGAATTTTTAATCAGCCTTCCCAAGAGGACTCAAGATATTAAATTTAAAACACCAATAAATCCCAGAAGCATTCAGGAGCTACCCCAACAGCAACAATGCTGAACCTGATAGAGAACCAAGTCCATGTGTCAGGAGAGAAGTACAGCGCATTTGAAAAGGAATGTATTGCTTTTGAGGAAGGACAAACGTAAGATACCTGTTGCTAAGACTTGTGCTCTCTGAATTCCTTTGTCTTCTCTCTGCAGATCCTGCAGGAAT